GTAGTGTTCAGTGATTCATTAGTTCCATATAACACTCAGTGCTCATCACCACACGTGCCCTCCTTAATACCCATCACCCTGTTAACCCATCCCACTACCCTCCTCCCTTCTGTAACCCTCAGTTTGTTTCCATGAGTCCAGAGTCTTTCATGGTTTGTCTCCCTCTCTGATTTTTTCCCATTCAGTTTTCCCTCCCTTCCCCTGTGGTCCTCTGTGCTATTCCTTATATTCCACATATGAATGAAACCATATGATAATTGTCTTTCTCTGCTTGACTTATTTCACTTAGCATAATACCCTCCAGTTCCGTCCATGTCGATGCAAATGGTAGGTATTCATCTTTTCTGATGGCTGAGTAATATTCCATTGTATGTATGAACCACATCTTCTTTATCCATTCATCTGTTGAAGGGTATCTAGGCTCCTTCCACAGTTTGGCTATTGTGAACATTGCTGCTATGAACATTGGGGTACATGTGCCCCTTCTTTTCACTCTGTCTGTATCTTTGGGGTAAATACCCAGTAGTTCAATTGCTGGGTCATAGGGTAGCTCTATTTTTAACTTCTTGAGGAGCATCTATACTGTTTTCCAGAGTGGCTGTACCAGCTTGCATTCCCACCAACAGTGTGAGAGGGTTTCCCTTTTCCACAGAGGATAAAATATTCTTATAACAGGTGGTTACTCTTCTGTGTTCTGTTGAGTTTCAATGATTCTTTGGGAATGACTGATCTCAAATGTGATATAAGAATTGGACACCCAGGCAAGCATCAGGTGTTCTGAGATACATGGCAGAGCTTTGAGAGGGGCCAACATTAGCCCCTGGTGGACAACACTGCTCTAGAAAGAGGCAGGAGTGCTGAGGCCAGCTGGGAGACCAGAGGAGGACAGCCAGCAGGTTAGAGTTGGGTTATGTTTGGGGAAGGGGTTCTCTTCCCTCCTGTTCCCCCTGCTGACACATGGGCACTGGAGGGTTGCACCAGCATGTGTGATGGGAGCAACATGGCCTTCCCTGCAGAACCATATGTTTCTCTCTTTTGTAATTCAGAATTTTCCTGAGCCCCTAATATGTATATATAATGTTTTTTATTTTAACAAAAGATATATAACATGAAATTTATTGTTTTAATCATTTTTAATAGTAAATTCCATTGGTATTAAGTACATTCATATTGTTGTGCAACCATCACCACCATCCATCTCTAGAACCTTCTCATCTTCCTAAACTTAAACTCTGCACCCATTAAATAGTAACATCTCATCTCTTCCTACCCTCTTTCCCCTGGCAACTACCTTTCTATGTTCTGTTTGTATGGATTTGAATATTCTAGGTACTTCATATAAGTGAAGTCATACAATATTTGTTCTTTTGTGACTGGCTTATTTCACTTAACATAATGCCCTCAATGTTCACTCATGTTATACTTTGAGACAGAATTTCTTTCTTTTTAAAGCCCGAATAGTATTCTGTTGTATAGATATACAATATTTTGTTTATCCATTCATCTATTGATGGATATAGGTTGCTTCAGACTTTTGGCTATTGTGATTAATGCTTCTTTGGACATGGATGTGTACATATCTGTTCAGTCCTAAGCCCCATTCTGGGACAGTAACTGTTGAACTCCAGTAGAACACCCAGGGGCCCTGACCTGGGCAGCTTTCTGCTTTGTCTATGAGCCTCCAGTGAGTCCAGTCACCTGGAAGCCTGACCTTCATAGGGAAGGAGGGAAATGGCCCTGCTGACCCTTCCAGGGGCAGTGCTAGACCCTGAACCAGAGGCCAAAGACAGAATGAAGAGAGCTTTAAGATAGAGCAAGGTTGCAAAGTTCAATGATCTTTCAAGTGGAATGAAAATTCTCTTCTTTTTACACAAACCTCCTGAAAGTCAAAGATTATAGGAGAATTTCCCAGGAAGCAAGGACCATATCACTTCTGCTTCAGACTCTGCCCACCAGGCTCACAGGGTCCAGGCATTCTGTAGATGGGCCATATCCAAATCTGAGAGGCACAAGAGGGTGGCCAAGGGAGGTTCCATCTACCTATAGTTACCCACCAGGGTACAGGGGCCACCAGATTGAAAGAAAGCCTTCACCAGGACTGCAAATGACCTTGGAAGACAGCAGCTCAACTCAGCACATCCTTACCTGCTCCTTGATGCTTAAACTCCCCCACCTGGGGACTCAGCCTGGTCTTCATGGTGAGAACTTAGGCTGTGGGTACTACTTATTGCCCCTGGGAGAAACAGGTGGTGAAGGACACTACCCTGGTGTGGAACTATATCATCTCTATCTTGCTTGACTCAAAGCAAGTCCTGGAGAGGAGAATGGGGTGAGAGAGCACCAGGGTGTGAATGGAGGAGAAGGAGGCAGTGGCTTTCAGTGCCCTGGGGAAGAGGTGTTTCTTTCCTCAAATGGGGGACAAAACCTGGAGTTCAGCACCTGCCAAGAAGAAGAGCTGTAGCAAATATCCTAGGATTTCAGCAGAGACCATGAAGGACCACATCCTGCTTGTAAAAGTCAATTAGAAATAGACCACTTTAAGAAGTGCCACTTTGAATCTTCAAAGAACTGAAATGAAAGAACTAACTACCTAGAATTCTATAGCCAGCAAAATTTTTCTTCAAAATTGAAGGTGAAATAAAAACATTCTCAATCAAAAAGGAGAGGAATCTTAAAAGTTTTAGAAGATCAAAAGGGTTCAGAGTATGTTTTCTGTTCACAGCAGACAACTGCAATAAAAACTCAATTTGAAAAACTCTACATCCTGTAAATTTAGTAATATATTTCTAAATAAGCCAAGGGTCAAAGAAGAAATCACATAGGAAATAAGAAAATACTTTGAATCAAAAGATAATGAACATACGGCATAACAAACCTTCTGAGATGCAGCCAAAGCAGGGCACAGAGGATAATTTATCATCTTAAAATCCATGTATTAGCCATGCTTGAAGGACGTGGGGGGAGGGGGAAACTTTGCTGAACCCCTAGGACAAGGGTTCCCATGGAAGTACAATTGTTTAGTGAGAAGATAGTTTTTGAAAAATAAAAACACAAATGAACAAATTAACTAAAAGATGTATTATCAAGATCCAACCAAAAATAAATCCTTAAGAGAGCTCTTCAGGGGACAAGAAATAACCCCAGTGAAAATAATGTTGAAGGAATGATGCAGAGCAGAAGGGTAAATATGTTGCTAAATCCAGTTAATTTAAGACAATCATACTGTCTTACGGGCTTTTGAATATATAGAATTTAAACACCTGACAACAATAACACACTAGGTGGGCAGAGAGTTAGGAGTAATAATGTTCTAAGGTCTTTCCACCATCCCTGAAATGGTAAAAGTACTAATTTACAGTAGATACAAGTAACTCAGTGATGCTTGTCACAATCGCTAATGGTACCACTAAAAGAAGAGTAAAGTAAGGGGTAAGTAAAACCACTAAGAGGAAGAAATGGAATGATAAGATCTTGAATAATTTAGAAGAATGCAAGAAAGGAGAAAATAGGGAACAGACAATGAGATGAATAGAAAACAAATAATTATATGGCCAATTGGAACCCAAACATATCAATAATGGTAATACTAGTTGTCAGGGATCAGTAATACAAGTCATTGTAAATGGAATAAATCCTCAAAATAAAAGACACTTAGACTGATTTTAAAAACTGTTTGCTGCTCACAAAGCCACATCTTAATGATTAGGACACCATCTGTGAGCAAAAAGCTGAATAAAGACATATCATGAGAACAATAATGAAAACAATGCTGATGTAGGAGCTCTGACATCACACAAAGCAGATTGCAGAGCAAGAGGAGTTCCTTGGGATAAAAGGTACAACTAACTCATAATGGTAACATGGTTGACCACCAAAAAGGTGTAAGAATTCTATTTGTATAAGCACTTAATGACAGAGTCTCAAAATACATAAAGCAATCATTGTGGAAAAGAAGAACAAATTCACGATCAATCACAGTGAGAGATTTTAACACATTTCTGAGCAACAGACAGAAAAGGAGACTGAAACCCAAACCCAACCCAAACCAAACAAAACTCAGTATAACAAAACAAAGCAAAAAAGGTAAGTATATGGAAGGTTTGAACAAAATGGTGTACTGAGAGGTATCTAACTCCTAAAAAATACAGAATACGCATTGTGTTCAAGAACATATAGAGTGTTGGCAATATTCTGGGCAATAAAACCTCAACACATTTCAAAGAAGATAAATAATAGGATATTTTCTGACTACAGTGGACTTCAGCTGGAAGTCAACAGGAGAGAAGATGATTGGAAACTGGCTATGGTAGTAATTAAACGACATAGTCACAACAGCCCACAGATCAAGAAAGAAATCACAGTGAAACTGAGAACATATTTTGGAGGGAGGGAAAACTAATCATACCAGACTGGGAGGATGAAGCCAGATGTACCTTCTGGCAGAGGAGGGTCAGGACAGTGGATTAAACACCTCCCCAACCTTCCTCATTGCCGGCCACACACCCTGTACTTCCCTGGGTCTGGCTAGTGGTGGGCTCCAGCCAAGGTTGTAGGCAGGCTTGGCAACGGCCTCCAGCCCCAGAAATGGACTCATCAGGGTTCCCAGGAATCTGTGTGACTCTGGCAGTTGATGCACTGCTGTGGGAGCAAACAAGGTGGATACAAAACTCTGCAGGAGTGGGGCTGAAATAGCAGCTCAGGCAGGCAGCCCTGGAAACGTGCAGGAAACAGAGCATGTTGCATGCATGCCCTGTGTCCAGGGTTTTTGTGACAAGGGGTGATGATGTGACCCCATATTCTGCTTTCTGTTTGGTGATGTGGGAGGGACAAGGCAGGTAGATGGAGAGGTGGAGCTGGCCAGAGGCACCAGTCAAAGGGGGGAGGTCAGCAGCTCTGAGGGCAGGGTTGTGTGGGATCTGGAGATGTGGAGGGCAGCCCAGCAGCTGCTGCCACCCCCTCCTCCCATATGTCACCAGTCCTTGGTGCTGACGAAGGACAGCATGTTCCTGAAGACGCCTCTGCTTCTGGGACTCATTGTGCTGGGCACCCATGTCTGGACCATTCAAAAAGAATTTGTAGACATTTGTAAGAACCATGATTATTTTGTGGCATCTGTGGAGTTTGCTCTGGCTTGGTTCAATGATGACAACATGGAAGAACACTCATACAAGTTGTTGGAGGTCGGGCAGGCCCAGCAAAAGGTGAGTTCGATCATTCTGTCCATGCCCAGATTCTGGTCCCTGCATGAACAGCCCTGAGCTGGGTGCCATGCCAGCAGGGCCCTGATAGGGAGGGTCTCACCTCTGCACCACACTCCTGAAGAGACTGGGTGTGGCCCCTTCCCTGCACAGCACCCACCAGCTTCCCTCAGTCTTTCCCATTTCCTGACCCTCAGCCTCTTCCTTGGACAAAAACTAGCCCTGGACACCTGGAGGCCACAGGAGCTCGTTGGGGTGGTCTCCAAGCCCCTGTGCCCTGTCCTAGCTCAGGGTCTGGTGACCATGCAAGTGAGGCTGGGTGTGCATGGGTGTGTGTGTGTGTACACACATTCGAGAGTGTGTTGTTGGTGTGTGTTGGGGCACGAGTGGATATCATGTGTTAGTTGCAAAAAGTGAGCCCAAAAGTCAGCTTTCTAGATAATTCCAGTTCAGTCCAATGAGAGGCAGTGTCCTCCCCGTAGTGATTTCTGGCTACATTTCTAAGTTTGAGCTCTTCTTGAGTTTTCATGCAGTTCTTTCTATTTAACAAGATGAAATGGTAACTTTTAATAACTTCAGATAGAAGCCTAACTGACACATGGGAAAGCATCTGCTTTGTAAATATCCACCTCAGTGAACCTTAACAAGAAGAGCCCTTCTGTGCAGCCAGCTCCCACATAAAGAGGCAAGCATCCCCAGCCCCCAGGACCCCCCACATCCCTGTCTAGATGCTGCCCTGAAAGGGACTGCCATCTGTGATGGCTAATCATTGGACTAACACACCTGTTATCCTACTCTCCAGAGGAGGACTCCCTGGTGTGCTCCCCTTGTGTCTGGCTGATGCCACGCAAGCATACGATTGAGAGATCAATGGTGCTGTCAGTGGTGCTGGAGCCCGTGCAGGCTCCTTGCTGTGCAGCGTCTGATCCTGTGAGCCTGTTACCTCCTGTGCATTCATAGCACCGTGGATGTGACTGGCAGGTGCAGGCCATCAGGAAGAGTGCCTCAGGGAAGATTCTAATACATGCCTTAGGTGCATTTAGGAACACCTTTCTATTGATCATATGCTTACAGAGAATTGTGCATGATTTGAATATTCTATTTATATACATATTCTAGTCATTTGCCCACTTTTCTATTTGATTCTCTGCCTTTTATTCACTCATGGAAAGCAAATATTTAGCAGCTGTTTTATAATTTCTTCTTGACAGAGGTGGACAATGATATTTTTAATGGAGTTGGAGTTGCACCGCACAATTTGTAAAAAACAGGATGAAGACTTCAACAACTGCCCCTTACAAGAAGGCCCAGGAAAGAAAAAGGTTTGATAATAAAATTAACAATAATATTAAGGAGGGTCTATGAAAGGAAGCTTAGGGAAGTTGTCACAATGAGGGTCTTAGTCCCTCTCCCTCCAGGTCCCAGAACCCCACCCAGAGGGGGAAGGTGGTCACACTAAGTAGACAGAGCTGCTTCCAGCAGAGTAGTGAAGCTGAGCCCTGCGCTCACCTGGCTGGCCCACCAGAAATACCCTGCAGATACCCATATGACCTTCCTCCCATGATGAGACCCTCCCCCCAGAGCATAGCCTGAATGTTTCCTGAGACCTTGGGTTCTGGCAGATACTGTTCTGTCTCTGTGGTCCTAACTCTTCCTTTGCTCTTCTGTTTTGGTTTCTGAGGACTGTTTAGTTTGTCTGGTCATCCCACACCCCCCTCTAATCCCCTGGGCTTCAAGGACATGTCCCAATCTTTCCTCCACCCCAGGCTTGGGGAAAGCCTCCCCTCCGGGTAGGTTTGCAGCTGCTACTGAGTGTTCAGTGTCCAGCTGGACCATCTCCTGGGCAGTCTGCTGGCTCCCTCAGAACTCATGGGGGCAGGGGGCATCCAGGCTGTGTCATGGGTACTGGCAGGACCCCTGAGTGGCAAGCCATGGTCTCACCAGGACCCTCTCAGGGGCCCCTGACCCACATGTGCAGATTCAGCAACCCCTGCCCATCATTTTGGTGGAGTCTTGAGCTCCTCGGATCCTACCCTAGGCCACTGTTTCTTTTTGCTTTTCGTCATTTGTAGTTTTCATGCACCTTGAACTCCTACTCAGTCTTTCATGCTAAGTGCTCTCCATGTGTTAAACTGTTCTAATCTCATAATTACTTTTTTTTCCAGGTGGACTGCACCTTTATTGTGGATGCCAGACCAAGGATTTCCCAGTTCTCCCTCCTGAACAGTACCTGCGTGCAGAAATAGGCAGAGAAGGAGCCCATAGTTCCTCAAGCAGAAGTTCCTTTCCCTCCAGAGAGCAACAGTCTGTAGTCCCAGGTCTATTTAGTACCAGGGGAAATAAAGGTATCTCAGAGCACTTTCTGGGTCCATGTCTGTTTTGCACTCTCCCACATCTTTTATCTTTTATAAATGGTGCTGCCTGTGACAAGGGGTGGAGAATTCATCATTATTTCTCTTACCTTGACTGTAGGTGCAGAGTGTTGAGTCAATCAGACTCCCCAGTTCATGGGAGGCTGCCCTAGTAGTACTTGCAGGGTCCCCACTGGTTGGTTGGTGTATTTATTCATTTAGTCATTCATCCTTTCGTCCATCCATCCATTCATCCATACATGTATCTACCCATCCATGTATCCATTCATTTATTCATTCATCCTCCAATCTCTCCATGCCCCTCATCCATCCCACTCAAAAGGAATGCAGACTATTTTGCCAGGGAACAGCTCTTCCTTCTTCTCTCTTCCAGCTCTAAGGCCAGGCTCACAATAGGGTGGTCCTTCTGAAGAGGGACCATATTAGTCACAGAGATTGGAGGTGGGTGAGTGCAGCTGATATAAGTCTCTGCCCTCCATGGACACCCATCAAGGCATCTGCATATGAGCCCCTTGACACATAGAAGGTCATCCCAGGGCCTCTGAAGATAGCTCAGAAAATGGTAGCTCCAGTCACCATGTCCCACCTGCTCCCTGAT